AAGAGAAAACAAGCCACCAGGTCTGGGACTCAAACTGCAGCCAGTCATGTGGGAGTCTAGCACCTTAACCACCATGCCACCTGTCGGCCCTAACACTACTTAATTTTTATCTTGCACACATATTACATCTCCAGGTTCTGCTGATGACCTTGAGTCCCTCCAGCTCCACTCCTAACTATTGTACATTCTAGTTCCTCCACTGGGAACACCCTTCCCTCTAGGCCTCACCTGAGCTGTTACTACCTTTCCCCCAGCTAGTAACTACACTCTGGGCTCCCACAGCACCTCACATGTACCCATTAAGATTCATCCCCAAATTGAAATCACCTCAGTCACCTGTTAGAAAAAGCTTATATGTAGAATGAAAACGAGTAGTGACAAGCCAACCAGATATAGAGGCCAAGTACCAGTGCAATACAGTGGGTCATCAGCTTGACATTCTGGAAGAGAACCTTCTCCTCTTTTTAGAGGATATAAAGCTGAGAGGGTGTGAAGGTTGGAGCTGCAGCAGCCATTCTGTGACTATGAGGTTAGGGCTTGAGATAGACATCAATGTGGAAGAGAGTAGGAACAAAGGGAGACATGCCATGTCCCAGAGATATCCCTGTAGAGCTAACTGCTATTCCTCTCTGGTATCTGTGGAAAGAACAGGAAAAGAAAAATAGCGTTTCAGCCATATCATCTCATTTTGAAAAGGCTGGTCTGATAAAGCTTGGCTCCCACCATGCTATTCATGCAAAACAAGTGGCAGACAAATTTAGTTGCCTTTCTGCTCCCTATTCGCCTGAGAAAATCCCTGATGTTTTGGTAGAGGGCAGAGGCAGAGACTGTAACAAGAAAGACTTAATTCTGGAAGGTGAGAGCAAGAGACCTTCGGTTTGGGGAAGAAGGAAGAGCATTTCTTCACTCACTGCATCATGGGATATACAAGACCTGAGAGATGCTGAACAGGAAAGGAGCCCACAGCCTCAAGGAGAAGGGATTTGGGAAGCACCCACAAGGACGGGGGAAGGCAGGGAGACCAGCACACACAAACACTTAGAGACTGGCCTTGGGGACTGTTGCAGGGAGGTGGGAGAAAGGCGGGCCTCGAAACCAGGACCCACCCAGGTCCTGCAAGGCTGTGGGCACTGCACAGAGGAGTCTGGACTTCGCCTGCACCAGCTGGACCACAGAAACCTGAGAACCACCCCCAACAGGCGGCCAAAGCACTGAGCAATCCCCAAGCCTAAGCTCAGGTCAAAGATAACATCTTGAGTGTATTTAAAGCTGTTTTGGACCAAACACCTCGGTCAATCCCACTGACCACTGTCTGTGTGGCACTTATGCAAGGCCAGGTTGGAAGGCAAGAAGGAAGCAAGGATTCCCTTCGGGTGCTCATGAACTCCCAAGGTCATCTGTTTCCTACAAAGAGAAGACACCCCCCCCTCCAGGGCCAGAAATGGAAAAGTCTGGCCAGGCAGGTATTTGGAAGGTTTATAAAATGCAGAGGAGCCTGATGTCTTTTCTCCTGTCCCCAAGGATGGATGCAAACTTTCAAACTCAGGTGACGTGACACTGATGGCTCAGAGGCCTTGATTTCCTGTTTGGAACCTTGGCCCACTTGGGCTGAGTGGGAGGCTACGCTCAATTCAGCTTGTGCCCAGTCTCACCCAGGCCTTTGGGTGACCATTTGTGTGCTCTCATTGCAGGAGCTCCTCATGCAGGAAACACTCTTTAAACTGAACTGTTTAGTGAAAGGCGGAAGACATAGAAGGGTTATAAGAGTAAAATGGCACTAACCAAATGCATTGCCATTAACTTCATTATTCTTGACAGCCGATAAGATTTATGTTCAAAACACCCTCCAGGTAGATACTATTTTTACCTTCTGCATTTTGCAGATAAGGGAACTGAGGCCTGAGAGGTAAAGTGACTTGTGATCACACAGTTGGCCAGTCGCATTGATAGGAACTAGAGCCCTAACGGTCTAAACCTGAGTCCACGGTTGGCCTCTTTGCTCCTACTTTTTCAGTCATTCCCATTACCTGGTGTCACGAGTCCCCAGGCAGAGGATCACTATGCTCTCTCTGGGCTCTGACCAGCCACAACCCTCGATGCTTTAGGCTCTGGCTACAGAACCAGGGGTAAGCAGGTCTCACCTCTCTCCAATTGGTTATACAAGGGACCAAACACAGGTCACCTCCCCCAGCCAGACCACCACCCTGGGGAAGAATGTGTCAGAGGTCTTCGGCAGGCCCTCCAGCTCTCATCTGCATTCTCCTGCTAGACACTTGACATACCCCCCGACAGTGACAGCATTTTAGCCAGACAGTCCTAGATGAACCATAGGGCTCTGGCATTGGGAAGCGAACCACTTCCAGAACTGGGCTTCAGATGAATGCTGGGAAGCATCAGAGGGCAGAGCCAGGAAGGGGAAGAGACAGCTCTTCCCAGCTGCAGGAGGTGACTGAAACCAGAACTGCTCAGATCCTTCCTGGCTTTGCAGTCAACATGGACTGGGGCCAAGCAAGCATGGGGGTGAGGAAGATGAGCCTCCCTCCCTCTCAGTAAGCAGTGAGCATGTAAAGAATTCATACATTTTGGGACTAGCAGTTAGTGTAATGGCTATATCGCTGGACTCTCATGTCGACCGTGGTTCGAGTCCTGGACCTGGTGGCTTAAAATATCACGCCAGGCGCGTGTGCGTGCGTGCCCAAGATCCTGAGAGGAAAATGGAGAAGGGATTGCAGTGTGGCCATCCCCCCTGGGGCGTGATTTCTCGCTTTCTGTCTCTCTGTCTTTCTGGCAAGTGCATGTGCCCTACAGCAAAAACCTCTCAAAAAAAAAATTAATACATTTTAAAAACCCATTTAAAATCTCACTCACTTTCGATCTCTCTCCAAGTACATGCACCCTCTAGCAAATGAAAAACAAAGCCCAGCAGGTGGTGTGGTGGTTAAGGCACTGGATTCCCACATGGTTAATTATGGTTTGGTCCTGGACCTAGTGGCCTGAAAATCAAGCTGGGCATTTGTGCATGCACGCATGGCTAGAATCTCAGGAGAATAATAGGGGATTGTGGCATGGCCATCCCCCCCAGGATGAGGTAATTTCTCACAATCCCTCTCACTGTCTCTCTCCCCAGGCACCCACAGGCTCAGTCCCTCTCCCCCTTTAGGTCTTTCTACAAATGTCACGTTAGTGGCACTGCTGACCTCCTACTCCAAACAACCACCCTTTCTGCTTTATTTTCCCCAAAGTACTTTTCTCATTCAACATACAAGGGTTCTCAAAAAAATTCATGGAAACGTATATTGTGAAAAAAGCTATGGACCAGCTCAGTACCCTAGTGCTTGAAGGGGCTGGGTCCCACATGGCAAACTGCAGTTCAAATTCTGATTCCAACAGCTTGAAAAACATACCAGGTGCATACCCATGTACTCCACAAATCCTAACAAAATGGCGAAATGGAGATGGGATTGTGGTGTTATCACGTCCCACAGGAGGTGCTTTCTCCTTCTCTCTCTCTGTCTCTCTACCTCTCTCTGGCCAGCACACATGCCCTCTGTGTTAAAAATAAATAAATAAAATAAAATAAAATAAAAACTACACATGGGACCAGCGGTTGGCGTAATGGCTATGTCACTGGACTCGCATGTAGTCAACTGTGGTTTGAGTCCCGGACCCGGTGGCTTAAACTCACATTGGGCACGTGTGCGTGCGTGCCCAAGATCCCAAGAGGAGAATGGAGGAGAAGGGACTGCGGCATGGCCATTCCCCTGGGGGATGATTTCTCACTTTCTGTCTCTCTCTCTCCATCTTTCTAGAGAGTGTGCATGCCCTATAGCAAAAACTTTTGCAAAAAAAAAAAAAAAATCTACACATGGATTTCAAAATCTCCTGCACCAAAAGAAATTTGTACTTTAATTCTATTATTTTTTTAAAGAGAAATTTTTGCTATAGGGTGTGCACTCACCAGACAGACAGAGAGAGACAGAAAGTAAGAACTCCCTCAGATTCAGGATTTGAACCGCAGTCAACTACATGGGAGTCCAGCAATGTATCTATTATGCCATCTGCTGGTCCCTTAATTCCCTTTTTTAACTTTTTGAAGTCTCCCTCATACTTTTCATTGTATTGAGGTAGGAGACAGAGACCACAAAAATGTACTCAAGGTATAGGCCTAAAATAGAATTTCAAAATGGCTGTTTTGTGTTTTTTGATTTTTGGGTTTTTAAAAATATTTTTGCTATAGGGCACGTGCACTCACCATAGAAAGAGAGACAGACAGAGAGACAGAAAACGAGAAATCATCCCCCAAGGGGGATGGCCACACTGCAATCCCTTCTCCTCCATTCTCCTCTTGGGATCTTGGGCACGCACGCACATGCGCCTGGCGTGAGTTTGAAGTCACTGGGTCCAGGACTCACACTAGGGTTGAAAAGGTGGTAGTCCAGCAACATAACCATTATGCCATCTGCTGGTTCCTTGAAATGGCTACGTTTTAAGATGGAGACAAAGCAGCTCCGCTGCTTGCTCTGGAGAGACCTCTCTTGCAGTCTTGGCTCAGTGACTGACCAGGGCAGCATGACCTAGACCTAAAACAAAGGCTTTTTCAGATCCCACCACATTCCAGGAAGAGGATAAGATAATGGTTTTTGAAGCACAAGAAAGAATCTCCTGACCTTCATATCCACTCCAAAATTAGGAAAATAATTGGACCCCACCATAAGGGGAATGCGTGCATGGACCCCACCTAGAACAAGCCTGAACAAGGCCCCGCTGACCCAGATAAAAACCCCTCACCACAGTTCTTCCTTGGCAACCCATTTTCCAGGACACCTCCCTTCGTCTTGGGAGCTCTGTTTTTCCTTCCCTCTCCTTCAATAAACTCCCCACTTTGCTGAACCTACTCTCTGTGTCAGCGACTCTAATTCTCCCCGAGCGTGGGACAAGAACTTGTGTCTCACTGCGAGTGTGGGCCTGATCACCCCTGCGCCCCTTCGTTCCCACATCAGCGTTTCCTCAGCGAGATCAAAGCCTGCTTGCCTCTCTGCAGAGTCCTCACAGGCTCCAAAGGTCCCACCCGAGTCCCAGACCTGTTGTGCCATTTTGCACCCCTGACTCCGGTCAGCACCAAACTGGTGCTTCTCAAACTGAACACAGTCATCACTCAGGCGTCTTATCAAAGGCAGAACTCAATCCGCAAGGCTGGTGGGCCTGGGAATCAGCATCAGCAATAGTTGATTAAGCCCCCCTGGGGGATGCTGGGGACTCCTACCAGAATTCAGTCTTTAAAATTTAGCCCGAGGGCCAGCATTCTCTCCATCTTCTTTCTACCCTCCTCCCTCTCCTGTCCTCTCCTCCTTCCTCCCTCTCCCCTTCCTGTCTCTCCTCTCCCTCTGTTCACTCACCATCTCTCTGTTCCCTTCCCCCTGGTTCTTTCTCATTCTCATCCCATTTCTCCTGGTCCCCTCTACCCCTTCTCTCCCCATTTCCTTTCCTCGCCCTACCCCCCAGCCCTCCCGTTAGCTATCCTAGGAGTTAATTGGCACCTTGGGCATTGCTCCAGCTTCTGGGCTCAAAGGTCAGAACTCCTGATTCTAAAGAGGTTCCAGGGAAGGTGACTGGCTCCTTATTTGAAAAGGCAAAAACAACATTAAACCAGGAGACCCCTGGATTTCGCCAGTCCTCGCTGAGTTTATCACTTTCCCTTCTTAATAACCACATAATGACTCCTATTAACAGCCCATCAAAGGCAATTACTCCTCTGAAGGAACAAAGGCTCCCACAAGCCATTTTCTTGCCACTGCTTTGTCGCCAAAGCTCTTTTCACACCTGCAGCCTGGCCGCTCCACCCCTCTTTCCGAAGGCAAATCTTACTGAGAGGTTTCTCCCTTCCTCTCCTCCTCCAAGCTTCCCGGCTGACAGCTCCTCGCCCATCCTTTCTCCCTGGGGCGGGGGGGCACCTCCAGGATTCTGTATTCCTTTCTCATTTCACTCCTGTGGGAACATTTCATGGAGACACAAGGACTCCTGGGGAAAGCTCCCGCGTGCCTGTGTTCACAAGCACGTTTTTGCAGCATGACTCATAAGAATAACAAAACTGGAACCCACCTGCAGCACCCTCACTGTCAAGTGGCCTTAACAATGGCCAGGTGGGTCCAAGACAAGAAGAGCTCCTCCCAGGCTCACTATGTGCCTGCCCCTGCTCAGCCTCTTTACATATTATCATCTCGTTTCACGGAACAACATTCAGTACAAAGAAGGGACAGTGAGCATCCCCATTTCCCAGGTAAGGAAACCAAAACTGAGGTATTATGAATTTCGCTCCACAGAAACCAATCCCCACTCTTTTCTTCTTCTCCTTTTCCTTTTCCTCCTCCTCCTCCTCCTTCTCCTCCTCCTTCTTCTTTTTTTAATTTGTCAGAGGGCACATGCACTCACCAGGGAAAGAAAACGAGAAAATGAGAAAGCACCTTTCTCCCTCCCCCCACGGAGAACAGTCACACTGGAAACCCTTCTTCTCCCCTTTTTCACAGTGTTGGTCAAACACACATGCTGCGGACCTCGTATGTTTTTCAAGTAGCCAGGCCCAGGACTTGAACCATGTGGGATCTAACCGCCTTAACCACAGTCTTAATCGCTGACCCCCAATCGCCCAACTTCAAAGTCTGGTATGTGTATGTTTAAGTAAAAACCATGAGAAGTGAAAACAAAAGCTTCTGAAAGTAACAAGAGAGTATCTTCATGAGCTTGGGGAGGTAAAGATTTCCTAAAGAGAGCACAGGAAGGGTAAGCGTCCCAGACGCAGAGGGTGTCATCTACCTGCTGACCCTGGTGTGTGTCCTATCCACTATGTAGCAAAGTCGGGGCGCTGCACCTGCATTTCTCCGCAGGTGAGCTCCTACCTTCCACCTCAGTTTGGAACTGCATTGGGAGGAGAGAAGGTTATCAATGCAAGGACGTGGGAACCCACTGCCATGTGTACCCCAAACAAGGGCGGATGATCTGGGGTGATGGGCACCAGGGGGCGCCCTTCAAACAGTGCTCCCATCCCCGGCCAGCAGCTCTGCAGGAGTCAATCCGGTCCTTCGTTTCCCTCTGCCTCTGCGCTGGCCTGTCTCATGGTGGCAAAGGATCCAAATTTTGCACAGAGATCAGCAAGTAGGAGGAAAGGCCAGGGACCACGGCACTCCCTGGGCTGCGCCATAGTTCACTCAGACCTCACCTGTACAGTCCTTTCATCCCCCCACGGCCTTGTGGGGAGCTACTACCCTCATGGGACTGACAAAGCAACCAAGGTTCAGGGTCTAGCAAGTGACCTGCTGCCTTGGGGGCCGTCCTGCTCCTCACTGCAGCACTACCTCCCCTGGAATACCTCCTTAGATCCCAGCTGCCAAGAGCCTTTTCGGGAGTATTACTGCATCCTCCGAGAACCAAGTGAGGGCAAATACATGGGCCTGGTCAGGGGGACTGAGAGATGTCCAGAGGGCACAGTTCAGCTGACCCTACCAAAAGGGGTTAGCTGGTCAGGGCAGAGGGCAGGATGGAGGCTCCGGCCAGCATCACCACGTTCCTTTAAGGACACTTGGCCAGGCAAGCTGCCCCGAGGCCTCAGGGACCACTCATTGCCCACTGCAGTAGAGGCTGCTGCCTCTGCAGGGCCATGCCAAGGTGCCCATTTGGTTCCTAGGAGGGACGGGGAGAAGTCCCTGGGCTTTGGTAGGGGGGAAGCTTCTGGACTTTGGCTGGGGGGGGGGTGGTGGGGAGGAGGGAGAAGCCCAGGTCAGAGAGTAATCTGGGGCTGCTGCCCTCAGCTACAGCCTAACCCCCAGGGACACCCAAGTCTGCAATAAAGGAAGACACCACACCTGGAGATAAGGCCCCAGCTTATGTCTCATTTTATATCCTGGAGATAAAGACCAGGCTCAGAAACAAGGCCTCAGGGGGCCGGCAGGTGGCGTGGTGGTTAAGGGCATGGATTCCCACGTGCGGACCGTGGTTTAAATACTCGACCTGGCAGCTTGCTTTCTCACTTTCCCTCTCCCTTTCTCTCTCTCACTCTGTCCCTCTCTCATCAAATTAAAATAAATAAATGAATAAATAAAAGTTAAATAAAATAATTATTTTAAAAGAAACAAAGCCTCAGAGGAGGATGCACTGAGGAAACAGGACCCACTCTGTTATTCCCACCCAGTATGTTTTCACACTAGGACCATGAACTGCCATAGACCTGACCACCTGGTCCACAGATGGGCCTGGTTAAGTGCGGGCTCAGAGGTTCGATGCCTGCTCCTCTATCTGCGCAGACCAGGTTCAAATCTGGGTCACACTAACCAGCTGAGACCTTGAGCACCTCATTTCCTTTCTCTGAGTCTCGGCTACCCTCAAGACAAAAAGGGGCTAAGAATCCTACTTAATCCACAAGACTAAACGGGATGGTATACAGCATTCTACCAGGGCTAACTGCTACAGCAGGTCAGTTTGTCAGATCTGCAACTGACTCTAATTTTTGTTACTTTCCCTCCATTAATTTTATTAATTATTATTATTATTTTAATTTTCTATAAGGCCTGTGTGCTCACCAGGGAGAGAGAGAGAAAGCAAGTCACAAGTCCAGGACTCGAACCTTAGTAAACCATGTGGGAGTCCAGCACCTTAACCATCACGCCACCTAATGGACTCACAAGCACCACTTTCACTGGGTAGTAGAAATTTACTTGGGCCAGGGGCTGGCCGGTGGCATAGTAGTTAAGGCGCTAGACTCCCACATGACTGACTACAGTTCAAGCCCCAAACCTGGTGGTTTAATTTCTCTCTCTCTCTCTCTCTCTCTCTCTCTCTCTCTCTCTCTCGTCAAATAAGAAATAATAATAATAAATAAAATTAAATAAATAATTATTTAAAAAGAAATTTACTTGGGCCAGCTCCGTGACTTGGCAGTTAGGGGAGTCAGATCCCACATAGTCAATCACAGTTCAAATCCAGCCCCAGTGTCTTGAAAAACACATCGGGCATGTGGGTGCAGATGCCTCAAATCTTGTCAGGATGGAGAAGTGGAAGAGAAGGGATTTTGGCATGACCACGCTTCATTAGGGTGTGCTTTCTTCCCCTCTCTCTCTCCCTCTTGGTTTCTCTTGCTTGCTCTCTCTCATACATGTTCCCTCTAGCAAAACATAAAGCAAAACAAAACGAAAACTTATTCAACTGAAGGATCCCTATCTTCTCAATCCTCCTAGAGCTCACTTCTAAGCTCCACATGGTACTAAGGCCTGCGGGGAGGGGAAGTGGACAGTGATGGACTCTGCTACCCTCTGTCCAACTGGCATTTTCTGGAGATCCTCACGCTGGTCTTTGGAACACAGGACCCTGCTGCAGCCCTCTCCCTCTGTGCCAAGGCCCTTCAAGCTATCAGTGCTCACCTGGGCCAGGGTCTCTCGCTTATTGTTTTTTGTTTTGTTTTGTTGGAGAGGGTTTTTATTTTTTTTGCTATAGAGCGCATGTGCTCGCCAGAAAGACAGAGACGGACAGAGAGACAGAAAGCAGAAAATCACCCCCCAGGGGTGATGGTCACGCCGCAATCCCTTCTCCTCCATTCTCCTCTCAGGATCTTGGGCACACACGCACACACTCCCAGCATGAGTTTAAGCCACCGGTCTAGGACTCAAACCGTTGACTATATGGGAGTTCAGCAACACAGCCATTAGGCTAACTGCTGGTCCCTCTCCCTTATTGTTAATGACTTTTTTTTTTTTTTGAGAGGTTTTTTGCTATAGGGCGCGTGCGCTTGCCAGAGAGAGACATAGAGACAGAAAGCGAGAAATCACCCCCCAGGGGGGATGGTCACGCCGCAATCCCTTCTCCTCCATTCTCCTCTTGGGATCTTGAGCATGCACGCATACTTGCCTGGCGTGAGTTTTAAGCCACCGGGTCCGGGACGCGAACCGCGGTCGACTACGTGGGAGTCCAGTGACATAGCCATTACGCTAACTGCTGGTTCCCTTGTTAATGACATTTGGAGCTGGATAATTCTTTGTCATGGGGTTGCCCTGCCCAACATGGGATGTTTAGTGCCATACCTGACCTTCAGCCATTACATACCAGTAGCAACACATCCCCCCCACCACCGTCTACTTGTAACAACCAAAAGTGTCACCTGACATTGCCAAATGTCCTCCAGGGGAGGGGGAGGCCAAAGTTATCCACAGCTGAGAAACACAGCCCTGGGCCCCTTGTCACCTCTTGCTCCTCTACATCTGGGTGCACAGACCCGTGGGAGGGAGGGGAGTGTCCCTCAAGCACACTGGCCTTCACCCACCCCGCCAGCTCTTCTCTCTGACCAATCCAGGGTCTCAACACATTCTTGAACAGTTCAGAGACTCTTGGGCTCTCTCGGTGAGACCTTGGACACCGACTGCAGGATAAAGAAATCCAACACATGAGAAGTGGGACCCCTTAAGGGACACCCAAATGATGCAATTAGGTTTTTGTTTTGTTTTGTTTTGTTTTGTTTTGTTTTCCTATAGGGCTCATTCACACACCAGAGAAGAGAGAGAAGGCAAGTCCAGGGCTTATGGGAGACAGCTCCACTATCAGGCTCCTCCTCTCAGATTTGTAGCCCAGCTGCCTGGCAGAACTGCCCTGCCTGGCTCTGGGGACCTGCTGGGGGTTCTCAGACCCACCCGGCCTTCCCCACACGGAACCAGGCTGTGCCAGCTGCTCACACCTTGGTACTTGCCTGCCGTTCTTCACAGCGGCTCGAGTTTGCCTCCTTCCGCTGCCTCTGTGTTTCCATGGTGTCACTGAACACCAGCAATGTCAGAGTCCAGGAGAGGACACATTCACCAGAACCAAACCCAGCTGTTGTCCTGCCGTCATCTGCCCTTCCCAACAACCAGATCAGCAGCCATAACAGTGCTGTGTGGGCAAGACACTTTATACCCGTGACCCCATTTCATTCTCTCACAGCCTTGAATCACAGAGGAACCAGTGTCTCCATCAGACAGAGGATGCAATGACTCCTCTGAGGGTCAAAGGTCACACAGTTAAGACGCTCAGACACAGGACACGTACCTGGGCCTCTGAGGCAGACTTGACGCATCTATGCTTTTTCTGAAGCCCTTTGCCTGGCCTAGGGGCCACTCCTTCCCCTGGCAAGTTACGTCTCTGTGCCTCAGTCTCCTCACTGATAAACTAGGGATGGTCAAGAGTAAACTCCCCTCCATGGGATTACTAGCAGAATTAAATGGCATTCATGTTCTGAAAGCACTTAGCTCAATTCCTAACACCCAGCAAATCTCAGCAGCCATTATTGCTGTTGTTATCCAGACACCAGGCTGCCTGCCTTTCAGCCTTCTGCAGCTCTACCCTACAGGAGGGAGCCCTAGTGGCTCAAGTCGATGATTTGGAGTCATCGTCCCTCTGTGCACGTGAAAGAACAAAAAGCACACAATTACTCCAACTTCACTACCGCCCCTCCAGAGGCCCAGGGAGCTGAGTCCCATGTGAGAACAGCCTCATTAAATCACAGATATCCTTAAGCATTACATGCCAAGCAAGGAGAGACACAGCAACTGACTTAGTGAAACCTGAATTGAAATGCATTTTGCCTCCTTCTCCTCGAGGAGAATTGTCCAGGGGGGCAGTAGGTGCAGCTTTTAATCTCACACACCGACAGGTGAGCCTGTTGTCCCATCTGCGGCAGAAGCAGCCGGGCATCCTTTGTCTGGGAGGGAAGCCTTTAAGACCACCAATGCCTTATTCTGGCCCAAATTCTGACAACTAGCTGAAATTTCCACTGTCTCCAATTGTGGAGTTTGGAGCCACCAGCTCACCCCTCTCCATCCCTTGAGAACAAACTTTCCAGAGCTACAGGGGAGACTTGAGACCACAAGGATGGACTAGGGAGACACAAGTTTCTAAGGGCTCTGCTGTTTGACGACGACTCCAAAGGACATCCAATAGCTGTGGCCAAAGCACAGCACAATGCCAATTAAAAGCAATACAGGCCTGGACAGTGGCGTGGCAGTAAAATGCAATGCTGTGCAAGACTGCTCGACATGGTTTTGCACCCAGAGACCTCCTTGAGTACGCCAGGCATATGTGCCCATGATCTGGGGCTGGCTGAGGCTGGCGGTGGATCATGGTGCCAAGGTCAGGTTGGAGATGCTCTCTCTCTCTCTCCCTGAAGTAATAAACAATAAATAAATTTTAAGGAAAAAATATAAAAGCACTATGAACCTTGACAGCCCTAACATGATCAGACCACAAACGGCTACTGCCAGCTCAACACAGCAAGGCCCGGTGCCCCATGTCTCCTGTGGAGGGTCTCCCAGGGTCACATACTTCCCCAGTCTCTTTGCTTTTCCTATTCTCTCCCAGCCAAAACGGGACCACTTTCTCCCAAGTGTATTCATTCAACAAGTATGCCGAGCTCCTTGTCAGTTGGCACAGCGGCGTGCAGGCCGGTGGCTGGGTGGCAGCGCGGGGCTAGTCTTCGGCACCACGAGTGGCTTCAGCTGTGAGGAACACACCACGCCCTTCTCCCTCGAGTATCGAGTCTTCTCAAAAATGAAAAAGGACAATATATATCTCCATTTCATCATATTCCAGTTTATTCAGATAAGGATGTGTTCCACATGGTGGTTGAAGTGCCACGTTGGTCTAATACAAAAATGGAGATTGCTACAAAGGATCCTTTAAACCCAATTAAACAAGATGTAAAAAAAGGAAAACTCCGCTACGTTGGGAATTTGTTTCCTTATAAAGGATACATCTGGAACTGTGGTGCCATTCCTCAGACTTGGAAGGGCCAGGACACAGTGACAAGCATACTGGCTGTTGTGGTGACAATGACCGGATTGATGTGTGTGAAACTGGAAGCAAGGTTTGTGCAAGAGGTGAAATAATTGGGGTGAAAGTTCTGGGCACACTGGCCACACTGGCCACGATTGATGAAGGGGAAAACGACTGGAAAGTCACTGCCATTAACGTGGAGGATCCTGATGCCGCCAATTATAATGATATTAATGACATGAAACGCCTGAAACCTGTCTACCTAGAAGCTACTGTGGACTGGTTTAGAAGGTACGAGGTTCCTGAGGGAAAACCAGAAAATGAGTTTGCTTTCAATGCAGAATTGAAAGATAAGGACTTGTTGATATTATTAAAAGCACTCATGACTGTTGGAAAGCATGGGTGACTAAGAAAACAGATGGAAAAGGAATCAGTTGCATGAATACGACAGTGGCTGAGAGCCCCTTCAAATGTGATCCTGGTGCTGCCAAAGCCATTGTGGATGCTTTACCACCACCGTGCGAGTCTGCCTGCACAGTACCAACTGATGTGGATAAGCGGTTCCATAACCAGAAAAACTAAGGAGGTTCCTCTGGGATACAAGCTGATGTTGCTGCACCTTATTCATCTGAAAATAATAGATGCAAAAGTAGTAGCCTGACAAAGCTTTAAGTTTATAGAACTTACCTAACTAAAGCAAATTCTTCCGTGACCAGTCTGATATATTCAGAATGTTACTGTCTGAGAGCATTTTTTGTATCTCAACTGAGGTACCTAGTACATGCTGAAATATCAAAGCAGTTGTAATTTGGACTTTATTTGTGAATAGATGTGCAAACTGAGCACATATTATTGGATGTATATGTTTACCATGAATTAGAAAATAAAGTTATTTTGCTGGAAAAAATAAATAAATAAATAAAAACAAGTATGCCGAGTGCCCACACTGTCCTGGGTGAAGAGCTGCTGCATGAACAAGGCCTGCTCCTTACTCTGCCACCCCCCCTCCCCCGCCAAGTCCTCATCTTCTCAGAATTTAAGTTCCGCTGAGGGAGGCTGACTCTGAGAAAACCGTCACAGTTCCATGTAAAGTTCTCCCCACACCATGCAAACCACAGCCAGAAGGCAGTGATCTCTGTCTTTCAAAATCCAAAGGTACATTTTTTGCCATTTTAAGAAATAAACTTGGTTAATCGCAGAGGGCAACCTGAGGCCTGGTGGGTGGGCAGGGGTGTGAGTGGGGCTTCCACCAGCCCCCAACTGCCTGCAATGCCAGACTCTCCTCTGAACATGTGCCGCATAAGGATCTAAAGACTGTCAGTGTATATGGGCCTTGCACAATTAGCCTGCGAGGTGGCCACAGACCGAAATCTGACAACACACACATCACCATTTTAATCCAACATATACTGGAAGTCCTAGCCAGAGCTATTAGCCAAGAAAAGGAAGTAAAAGCATCCAAACTAGAAAGGAAGAAGTAAAATTCTCTCTCTCTACAGTTGCTATGATCTGACAAGTAGAAAATTCTAAATATTACACACACACACACTCACACACGCACACACACACACACACACCTGTCATAACACCTGAATTCAGATACAGTCATGTTCAGATACACATGACTATCAGGACAACTGAATTCAGCAAAGCAGCTGCATACAGTCAACACACTAAACCGGTTACATTTCTATACACCAACCATGAACCATCTAAAAGGGAAATTATGAAAATAAGTCAATTTATAACAGCGTCAAAATGATTAATGGGAGAACTAGCAGTTAGCGTAATGGCTATGTCGCTGGACTCCCACGTAGTCGACCGCAGTTCGTGTCCCGGACCAGGTGGCTTAAAACTCACGCCGGGCGCATGTGCGTGCGTGCCCAAGATCCCGAGAGGAGAATGGAGGAGAAGGGATTGCGGCGTGACCATCCCCCCTGGGGGGTGATTTCTCGCTTTCTGTCTCTGTCTCTCTCTGTCTGTCTGGCGAGCGCACGCGCCCTACAGTGAAAATCTCTCCAAAAAAAAAAAAAAACTTTAAAAAAAAAAAAAAGATTAATGGGAGGCCAGTAGGTGGCATGGTGGTTGGGGCACTGGATTCCCACATGGCCAACCATAGTTTGAGTCATGACTTGGCAGCTTGAAAATCATGCCAGGAGTGCATGTGTGCATGCTCCAAATCCCAAGAGGAGAATGGAGGAGAAGGGATTACTGCCTGGCCATCCCTTCTGCAGGGTGATTTCTCATTTTCCCTCTCTCTACTCTGTCTCTCTCTGGTGAGTATATATGCTCTAAGGGGATGGGAAGAGCTTAAAAATGAATAATAGATAAGTTGTAGATAAGGAAAATATGGTATATTCATATAGCAGAATATTAAGAGAAAGTTCTGAGACATGCTACTACATGGATGAACCTTGAAGACATCACTCTGTGAGCTAAATAAGCCAGTCACAAAAAAGACGAATACTACGTAAGTTTCAGAGTGTAAATATACTTATGTGAGGTAGTTGGTGTGGTCAAAATCACACAGACAGAAAGGAGAGTGGTGGCTGCCACAGGATCAGGGAAGAGGAGAATGGGAGCTTAGCACTTAATGGTATGGGCTTTGATTGCAAATAAAAGGAGTTCTAGAGATGAGTGGTGGTGATAGGTATACGTTAGGAATGTACTTAATACCCCTGAGTTGTACACTTAAAATGGTTAACGCATGAAAACTCATGTTACATGTATCTATGTTATGTGTACATATCACGGTCAAAACAAGAGGGGGTAGCCAGTGGTGTGGTGATTAAACTGGCTGGATCCCACATGGCCGACTGTGCAGTTCAAGTCCCAGACCCAGGGGCTTGAAAAACAGGCCGGACCCGCGCCGAGCGAGGCGGCAGAGGGCGCAAGTGTGTTTTTCTCTACATGCACCTCTCTTTAAAAACACCAACTTTCTTTGGGCAAATTACAAAAAGAATAAGAAACTTTAAAAATGATTTCATTTTTAGTTCTGGTGTGGGCAAAAAAAAAAAAAAAAATTCATTTTTTATGTGAAGTTATTTTCTGCTCCTTAAAAATATTCAGAGATTTTGAATGATTTTAACTGTGTCTCCACAGCCCAGAGTGAAACAAAAATTAAGAAATTTTTCCAAGAAACTTGATAAATATAGATGGTGAATTCTGAGCATCAAAACTCCCAATACACCTCACATTTTTGCCCAGAATTATCTGGGGGTTGATAATGGAACTACTGAATAATGAACTGGTAAATTCTAACTTGAAGGAGATTGGAGGAGCACAGACAAGGATAAGTTTTTTGGTTTTTTTTTGTTTTTTTTTTTTTTGCTTTAAAAAAAAAAATGCTGCTATATAACGGAATAACCAGAGCTCCCAAATGAGAATAAACTTCATACAAAAATAAACAGCAACTGTTTGTAGCCAATGTTCAAATTCTCATGATTTTTAAATCTGATGCTTTTTTAAATGAAGTTATCAGTTGTTACTGAAAGGGACATTACATCTTTAAAGAAAACAATTCAAACCCTTCCCCCAAATTGCTTCTCTCCATGCAAGTCAAATATTTTCCTCCTTGCGATAAATCGAAGCAAATGCTCCATACCCCCCATGCCAATTCCTCGGCCCCGCCCTCCCCTCCTTTCCCCAAGGTTTATGTGCTACATAAAAGGTAAAAACTATGTACACAGGTAGTACAATGAAGCAAATAAGGAAAAACCTAATTGCACAATGCTACATCCGATGCTTTTAGAGGCAGATTTAAGAGTGCCTAACATTTTAGTGTTATTGTGTTGTTGCTTTTCAGTGCTTATACAGGATGTCCATTCCATGGAGTCAGCGATATGTATTTAAAATCTTTCATGTCTCTCTTCCTTGCTTCATCAAGCCGTGATGTATCTCATAAACAAGGAAACATTCTTAATTCTGTAAAAGAAACAAGAAAGAATTAGGGGAAAGGAGCTGGAGTGCCATTGCCAGTACACACAGGGATTATTTTTGTCACTGGAAAATTCTTTTGTGTTTTGTGAGGGTGAAAAGAAATTAAAAAAAAAAAAAAAAAAGAAAAAAAAAGAAAACATGCCCGGTCTGTGCGCATGCATGCCCAAAATCCTGAGAGGAGAATGAAGGAGAAAGAAAGTATTGTGGTGTGGCCTTCCTCTCTTGCACGTTCGCTCGCTCGCTCACTCGCTCTCTCTCTTTTCCTCTCTCTCTTTCTCTCTCTCTCTCTCTCTCTCTCTCTCTCTCTCTCTCACACACACACACACACACACACACACACACATATATCCTATGGCAAATTTTTTAAATGGGGAAAAGAAGAAGGGGAGATTAGGACACAGATACATACAAAGGGAAGACAGCAATCTACAAGCCATGGAGAGACACCTCAGAAGAAACCAATCCTGCCCACACCTTGATCTTGTCATTCTAGTCTCCAGAACTGTGGAAAAAGTAATTTCTGTTGTTAAGTCACCCAGTAGGTGGTACCATATTATGAGAAAACGAATACCCCTACCTACGCATCTTGATGGGAGACAGAGCCCAATCCCACTACAAAAGCAAAAAATGCCAGATACTGACCCAGGGTTAGTCAATCAGAAGCATCTTCTTGGACTTTAAGGGCGAGGGATGGATGGTGACAAAGCAAAGCCGAGAATCCAGTTTGGTGGCGATCACGGGAACATCCCAATTCCAAGAGCTGCACGACATGCGGCTACTGTAGCCTCCGGTCTGGAGTGGACACCGGCGTGCTGATATTCCTGACTCTGCTTCACTGGTTCCCCGGGAGCAGTGGCAATGTAGGGCCACCGGGTGGTCTAGTGAGCTGGCATCCTTAGTTAGCCTTGCAGGAAAGAGTTAATACTGCAGGCCCCAGAATGCTATGCTATCCTTAGAAAGAGCTGCTTGCAATTGTTATGGACACTAGAGCCAAAGTGGAAAGAGTACATAAAAGCAGTGAAGGTACTTAATGAGAGATAAGACATTTGTGGGACACAGATAGGGTTTATTATTTGTTGATGAGGATGTGCATAGTATTCTCAACTGGGCTGGACTGAGGTGTATATCATGCTGGGTAAAATCTCTTTACAATCTAAATGATGTATAACAATTAAATGTATAAATAATAATTAAAATTAATTTAAAAAGAAAATTTTTAGAAATTTTAAAAGAACTGCTTGCAAAGTCAGTCCCTGCCTGGCATCCAGGAACTTGGATGTCAGGAGTGTTCCCATCACTCACTTGCTGATAAGGGCTTATTCATCTGTCAACTAGGGAATGCCTGAGATGTTCGTAAAAACAATGTAGCATATGTTGAATAACTGTTTTGTTCCTGAAGGTCTGGAATTTCAGTGGGTTCTAGGCAATGAGTGCCTTTAAAACTGATGTCTGATAAAACCCTAGACTCCTAGACTCAGACAAACTTCCCTAGCAGATGCCACATACACCATAGTCACATTCTGATGCTGGAGGAATTAAGCACGTCCTACGGACCCGCTGGGAGAAGACTCTTAGAAGATTTCACCTTTCGCATTTGCTTTTTTTCTTTGTATGCTTTTTGCTGCAATGAGCCTTAGTCACTCGGTAGAATTGTATTTTGAGTCTTATGAA